TGGTGGTGGTGGTGGTCGCAGCAGCAGCAGCCATTGTCGTCGTCGTCCTCCTCCTCGTAGTAACATGGATGGCGACACAAAGAGTATTTGTCGCAATAATAACAGGGATAGCAGAAACAAACAGGGGTGACAGTGAACGCATGCAGTATGCATCGCTGTGATTGCATTGTTTGGCTTCTCGACGACTACCCTTGAACCCGGCGGGGTTTGTTCCAGGGATTGTTAGTCTTTCGGGTTCACGCCCGGGGCTCTCATTATTTGCCTCCCACTCCCTCAGCCCCTCACCTTGACGCCAAGTCCATCCGAAACCCTGACAGCGTCACAAATGCGGTGCTGACAAAAAGCCGCCTAACCTCCCGAACTGCAAACCTGTTCGAGGATTTAGGGTAGGTTTCACCATCAGGTTTTGGTCAAGCAGCATCTGCAGTTTTGGATATACGGGGCAATAGCTAAGGGTCATGGTCACAACGATAACAGCGGTTTCCGCAGAACCCAAGGATGTTACTTCTCTTTCAGACCAAACCCATGAACCCTTACATTTAGGGTTTGGAGTTTAGGGTTTAGGAACCTCAAGTTGGCAAGGACAAACTCCATTACTGGACGCGGCGCCAGTCCTGCATGCTCCTGGGACCTCTCTAAGTGCACCTCCATGTCTGAACCTTCGAAGCCCTCTAGGCTACACGTTACAGGCGAAGAGCGTAACTCTTCCCACGGCCTCAAAAGGCGCCTGGTTTCCAGGTTTTCGGATGTAGAGTTTAAGTACGTTTTGGGTTTACTGTTAAGGGTGTTGGGTTTAGCCCCCTGGGAGCCTTTAATTCTGGAAGTGCTACTGGCTTGGTTTTAGGGATGAGGGTTTGCTGCCTTTTCGGGTACATGATGTTGACATCACTGGGTTCGCATGGTTTTTGGTTCTGTGGGTTTTGTTTTGTTGCAGGATTTGAGGGTTTGGGGCTTATAAGGGTTAGAGGGTCAACGGGGGTATCCTGGGTTTCTGTGGATAACCTGAATAAATATGTTGTCATAAGCGGGGATATTTGGAGAACAGTACGTCCCCTTTTTGACGGTAGCTTAGATGACGTGACCCAGAACAGAACGGCTTGTGAGAGCTCTTCAGCCAGACTCCTCGAAGCATAGTCTCGATCCCTGGCCCGAAGCATTGAGCTCAAAGGCCTAATCTTGGCCCTTAACCCTAAACCCTAAACACGAAGCCCTAAACCCCTAAAGCCCTATACTCCGAAACCCTGAACCCTAAGCCCTAAACCCTAAGCTTGTCGAGCAACATATCCAGGGCCACTACAGACTGAAATCCCAGGTATTCCCCTGAGAACGAGGAGAGCGTGACACGGAGGTAAGTTAAGATTTTTGTGGGGTTAAAAAAAAATTAGGCTTTCAGTTCCTTCGGGATTAGGATGTTTGCGGTTTCGGGTTTGGGCTGAGTGTTTAGCTTTGAGCCTCCGGTGGTTTTCATGTTTTGCACAGTAGACAGGTGTTCTTTGGTTCCCTGAAATCTACACCCTAAAGCCAAAAGCCTTCAAGCACTGAATGCAAGACCTCAAGCCCTACAGTCGAAGTCCGAATACTCAAGTCCTCAACCTTCCAACCTGGACTCTAAACTCTGAATCCTCAGCCGGAACCTAAGGCCCTAAACCCAAAAAGTCTGGAGTCGACGCACCGGTCCTCTGAATCTCCCTTTCCAGAACTCTGGCGCAAAGTTACTCCCTCTTGTAGGGTCGTTGAACGGTCCTTTGTGTGTTTGTGTCGGGTCTTTATGTGGTACTTAGGTTATTGTTCTTGTTTTTATCGGGTTGTATCGGGGTTTTAAAGGATCCCCTGCTTGTTTTTTTTTTTCGGGGGGTTCTTCTAATAAGGATCCTGTTATGTTAGGCTCTGCTGGTTCCCCTGCCTTCATCCTTATCTCTTGCTCCCCTTCTACCTACCTCAAATATGCATACATACATGCATACATACATACATACATACAGACATGCATGCATGCATGCATGCATACTCACATAAGTCATAACCCAGAGAGAGGGAGAGACTTACAGACATAGAGAAAGAAAGAGAGAGAGAGAGAGAGAGAGAGCGAGAGAGCGAGAAAGAAACGCTACAACGTTGAGCACGGCTAAATAAGCACAATGTCGCATGCTTTTGCGAGGGCAAGCCCTGTTCCAGGGAGCTCTAAACCCTGAAACCCTGAACCTTACGCCCTAAAACCTTCTAGAATCAAATTTCAAACCCTTCAGTTTCAACTACCGGGCGATGTTCCGCAGCCCCTGCCTTTTCAGGAGTCGCACCGCCCCACCGCTCTCTCCGACTGCATCCCAGGTCGACCAAGTAGACGTATGTAAGTAGCCCTCGTCTGTTATCTTGGATTAGGGGTCCCTTTATGGGGGCTTAAGGTTTCGGTTTGATCTCGTTTCTGTTTTGAATGTTTCCGGGGGCGACGTTTGGTGCGGGATTAGGATTCAGGGCGTTGGGGTTTGAGGCTCAGTGCTTAAGGTTTGGGTTTGAGGGTTTAGGCTTAAGACATTTTGTCGGCTTGGCGGCTAGGTCCTGGAAGGCTGAGGGTTTAGGTCCTGTTGCGTGGAGCAGGCGTGGTGTGTCTCTCCGACAAGTTGTAAGCCGATTCTTCTGAAGCTTCCAGCATCTATTTGCTTCTGCGAGAACCTGCACACCGAAGCACTTGAATTCGGAACACGGAGCCCCTGAATTTTGAGCCTGCAGCGACTGGCGGTTTAAGAGCAGAAGGCTCAGCTCCACTGTCCTCACATCCTAAAGTTCAAGTTCGCTGGACCCCAAAGCTTTAGACAAGAATCCTAAAACTCCTGACCTCTGAACACCAGCTCTAAACCCTGCCCCTAAACTTCCCATCCCTGACACCCAAGCCCAGAAGCCCAGAAAAGCCGACACAACTTTACCGAAAGAGGCAAAAACAAGGCCTCACAGCCTCAAAGGCCTCGTGATGCTGACCCTATGCCCTCAAGCCCCTAAAACTCTAAAGCCCTACAAGCCCTGAAGCCCTACAGTCAGAAACCCTGAGCTTCAAACCTCAAAGCCTGGGAGGCTTCATGATGGTGACCATCGTCTGCATGCAGCGTCACGTGGCCAGCGGAAACCCGGAGCGAGCGATGGACTTTGCACTTCGGCAGAAACCTTGAAGAAGCACCCGGAAGCGAAAGCTTTGGGTTTCTGATTGATTTAGTCAGGGGTACGCCTTGCTGGGAAGAGTGAGTCAAGGGCCTACACTCTTTGACGGGTTCACATTTTTATAAGGGGGCGAGTCGAGGGGTTCCGACCTTGGGGTTGGCGGGTGAACTTTCTGGTGGGATGGGTGATTTGTGGTTTCCGGCTTCCCAGTCAATCCAAATTGCATGCCTAGGCCACGAGCAGTCGCTGTATATCCAACTGCCAATCAGTTGTGGTTGACTGATTTTTCTTTCGAATGCCACGTAACTTCCTCTTTCTGACGGTTTCTGACGTCCTATCATGCGGGTCAACTCCTCTAGCGCTTTCTTGAGAACTGGTTAGCATGATGTTTGGGTTTTGGGAAGCACAATTGGGCATCGAGATGCATTTCGTTTTTTTATGCAACTTTTCTTTCCCATGCTCTGGCTTCGATTGATGTTGCTGTAGATGCTTATCCCTTCTCCCAACAAGTCAGCCTGTCACTCCTCCAAACGATACTGGTTCCGCATCCTTCTGCTTGTATACCATGGTGTCCACAACCCCGCAGCTTTTCACGTTGGTGTTGTAGTGTTTGAACGACGGTCGCCCCTTGCGCACTGTCAACCATTCATGCGTCGACATGCATCGCATGTGCAGCAACCGGCAAAAGCAGCCGGGTTACCGTCCAACAACCGCCAACATCAAGAGTTGGGATCTAACCATTAGCAGTTGCACCAACCATCATGTTTGTGCAAACTTGCAACTTGCGTTGCACATCGTTCGGTCGCTTGCCAATGAGTTATGCTTGGCGTTGATCTGCTTTTGACCCTGGTGTTGCTTTCTGAACATCCAGCTGCCTCCCTCCCTTTACAGACATATGAATCTCTCCCTGTCTCCCTGAACACCCAAACCTCAAGCCCTAAACCCGAACTCTGGAGACTTGTGCAACACACGCAAGTTTTCTCACCAAAGTAAGACTTCCCGACGTCGAGCGGCCTGTGCCACAACCCGACGCCATTCCATCTCAGCTGTGGTTTGCTGTAAAGCGTGGTCGTTTGTGTGTCGAACTGCAAAGGGAAGCAGAGAGCAAGAAAGCCCCCCTTGAGGTGGGGGGCCTGAACCCTAATTGAGAAAAGTTTGGGTGGTTGGACCAGGACACCGCGCGCGCACTGTATGCACACCCGGAACCAAAAACCTCAAACCTACACCAAGCCTTAAACCCGAAACCCCTAAACCCTAAACCCTAAACCCTAAACCCCAAACCCTAAACCCTAAACCCTAAACCCTAAACCCTGAACCCTAACAACCCAAGATGCCCTGAACTCATCCTGAAAGCTTCCGAGCTCGGCAAGGCGACGGAGCTCGTCCGGTTGCTGCCTTTCGGCGCGAGCTTCTGGATCGAAGATCAGAGAGGGTCTCAGGTTTTGAGCGTTTCAGGGTTTAGGGTTGAGGTTCTGAAGATTTTAGGGTTGAGGGTTGGGGGTCTGAGGGTTGAGAGAGGCTCGGAGGAGCGGCACTTTGGTCTGGAGGACATGGGGATAGCTTCTTTGGTTGGTTACTTCCGTCGGTTTCGGATTTTAAGGCTTCGGGCTTGGATTGCTTCGGCATTCATACTTGTTTAACACCGTTCTGGGTTAGGCTTTTCAATCCCCATGCCCAGATCAATGCCCATGTTGGAAGGCTGCAAGGGTTTTTAGAGTTAAGGGTCTAGGCTCTTGACCTGGGTTTAGGGCTTTTGGTTCCAGATTTGGGCCACTGACCTTAAGCACTACATGTCAAACCCTGAACCCCGCACAAGCCGTAGACTTGAAGCCCTAAACCCTAAAAACTTCAAGCCTGAAGCCTTAAACCGTAGCCGTAGACCCGCCGTGAAACCTTGCGAAACTCTGTGCAAAACCATTTTCAAGGCCATTCTCACCCTTGTAAAAACCACAACCGTAGCAATAACAGCAAACAGTAACAACACCACTATTAAAACACTTATACTAGCAGTTTACAAAATGAAGCGGAAGATGATGATAATAGTAACATTAACAATCATGGCTAGGAATAAGACTAAGACGAAGCCCTTTAATACCCACAGACTTCTCCTAGGCTGTATCGACACCTCGGGCTGGCGGCAGCCCCGGAGCAAAGTCGGAAGCTTTCGTTTTCAGAACCTGCTCTGGGGCCTTTTTGGGGGTTTGAGAGTCTAGGGTTAAGGGGCTTTCCGGGAGTATAGAACTTTGACGTTTTTGTGTTTTCGGGCGTTAACTAGGGTTCTCGGGTTTGGGGATTTAGGGCTTTTAGGCCTTTAGATCTGCAGGGGCGAACATAGAAAGGCTCTCAACTCAAGCTGCAGTTGACATAAGCAGATAGCTCAACACTGCTGCGGCCCATGTGGTCCCAAAGCTCTAAACCCTTAAATCAGTACACCATGGCCCAGAGCAGAAAAAGCCCGTATAGTAATAGCAGCCCGTATAGAACTGTAACGCTTATAGTAACTCTTACAGAACCCTTGTTGAGGCCAGTGACGACCTCGCAGATTCTGAGCTACTACCGAAGGCACGGCCTTTCGAAGTGCGCTTTACGGCCCGTGTGGTGATGAACCGAGGCACGCCTTCTCACCCACCCGATCCCAGAGATATTCCTGAAATCATCCCCAAGCCCTAAGCCCAGACTCCTCAACCCAAAACCCCAAAACCCTCGAGCCGCCGCCCGCCGCAGCCCGAATCCTGAATCATAAACCTTGCACCCTAAACCGTAAGCCCAAAGCCAGAAAACCTGAAGCCAACCAGAACCTTGAAGTAGTTGGTTCTGCTCCTTTCCGAAGGCTCGTAAACCGAAACGTCTGATGCTTTGAGCGGCCCATTTCTTACCACTCGGTCTTCGTCTCTGAGACAGGATGAGGCCTGACCCTGTCATAGGAAGAATCTCTTGTCTATTAGTTCTGCCTAGGAACTAGAAGAATTCAAATTGATGAGGTGTCGTGTGTTGAGTTTTAAGTGCCGTATATTCTGCAGGCAAGAGGCTCCACTACAGTTGTAGAAGAGTCCATTCTACACCACCAACCGCAAAACTCCAAGCCATGACTCCTAAACCCCAGAACCGTTACGCATTTATCTTTTGTTTGCTATGCTTTTACCACGATTCGGTTTTGTGATGGCATCAGATTCCGAACTCGCAAACCCTACGTGCCTCCGCCGATTCCTACCATGGCACAAGGTTCCGCCGCGCCTACGCTGCAGGGCCGAAAGGCCAGGGCTTGGATGTGGCAGGCCCAGGGGGCATGGGCAGGTTTAGGGTTTTAGGGGTTCGGGGTTTAGGGGTGTAGAGGTTTAGGGTTTACGGTTTAGGGTGGGTTGCCAGAAGCTTAAAGCCCAAGATTGGCTCGAAGCTGTTTGGCCTTCCTGAGACCCCAGGACTTCAAAAGGAGCCACTTGAACAGCTGGCCCAAGTTCGACAAAGCTGCCGAAAACGAAGGATAAGCTAGAGGACTTCACAAACAGGACCTGGGCGGTACCTGGGTTTGCCCCAAAATGATCTTCCACCAAATTCAAGCGGCCGTCCTTTCATTTCTGAGAGGTCTTTCGCCCAACGTTTTGAGTCGACCGGACCGGGTTGACAAGCACGGACGAAATCCGAAACCACTTCTCTCTTGGTCGCCGAGAACTGCAAAGCGTGCAGCCACAACCACTGCAGCTCCCGCTCCGGAACTCTGTTTTGGTCAATATCTGAAGTCCTTCGGGATGTTAGCCAGCTATACTTTCTCCATCGACGGTTGACATAATTCGCACTCGCATTCGTTGATACTTACATGGTCTCGAATGAAGTAGGCTTTGCATTTGCGTTTTGGTGAGTGTATACAGCACAGTTCTGCTGGGGAGTTGTGGTGCATTTAAATTTGGCGTGCTATTACGGGGATGCCTTCAAAAAACATCTTGCCTCACATTCTCAACGGCACGTTATTTTTGTGACTTCACGACTCTTGCAACACTCAGCCGGATTCGAAACCCTGCATACAAACCCCTTTGCAATGGTTTCATAAAGCCCTGCTAAACTTCGAACCCCGAACCTAGACCCTTCAGCTTGGGCAGGAAGACGCGAACGCACGGAGCAGCGAGAGAGGCGTTCCATCCGGATTCCCGGTTCCAGTTCGGGGGGCCCTCAACTCCGGAACGCGAGCGGCTTCAACATTCCTAGGAGAACCATCCCCCAACCCATGGTGCAAGAAGGGCTGAACAGGAATCGGACTTTGCCTCTGGATAACTGTTTATGAGATGTTCTTTTTCATCAAGTGACTTGGCATGAGCCCCCGCAAAATGCCCGAACGATTGAGCCAAAAGCCCCTCAAACCCTAACCACCAATCCCTCAAATTCAGAGCCTTCAGCCGGTCTGTTCGACTTGGACGCGTGGACTCATCGACTGCTCGGCCAAGTTGGACTTGCGCCGAACCTCTGCAACCAGAAACTCAAAGCCCGAGATCCCTTCAACCCTACACCCAAACCCTCAACCTCTTTAAAGCCTAAACCTCTTCAAATCTGAAGGGCTGCTTCCACAGCCTGCTGGTCCAGCGTTCAGGGTTTAGAGCTTAAGATTCAGGGTTTAGGGGTTCTACCACCTCAAGTATGTCGCTGTGCTGTGGACAAGCTGCCAACTCGCAACGACTTCGCAACATGCACCGTCCACTCGAGCACTTCGGCTATCCTGACCCACGCGAAGGCATTGGGCTCCACGCTGAGATCATCGCCAGGAATCTCTGCTTGGCACGGAATCCCTAAGCTGCTGGCCTCCGTGCGGAAAGGGTCCTGCTGAGCCTCAAGGTGTTTGCCCTCAGCTTGTTGGACCATGTGCGTTACATCCCAAAAACCTGGAGCCTGACACAGACCCTGGGAAAGTCGGCGATAAAGTAGAGAATCATTGGCATCGGCCCATGCAAAACACACCAAGAGCTCTTATAAGGCTCGTGGAACCTTGCACAAGCCCAAATGAACCTTGCTTACACCACCCTCAACCGTATACTCCTAGAGACGTAGCCCTCCACCCGGGTACTTCTTCCCAGGGCGCTCAATACCCTGCAATGTAAAGATGCTCCTTGAACCAAATCTCGCAGCTCTGCACATTCTTTCCAGCTTTCTCAATTCAAGTACTCGAAACCCTTGCAGAGCAAACTGTATGAATTCAAAAACGAGCCCTCTGAGCTTTCTTGGTTCCGCCTGCAGGGATGGGGAGACTGCCAGCGCTTGGCCCGTTTGGCTTCTGCGCGAGATGTTGTGGCAGGCGGATGCGCAGTTGGCGGGTTCGGGCGCTTGGAGTTTAGAAACCCTGAGCTCCAAACCCTAAGCCCCATGAGGGTTTCGGCATCATGCGGTGCTTGGGACTGCTTAGTTGGCTTCTAAACCCTATACCCCAAGCCTTAACCCGAAAGCCCCGCGCTGTCGACTTAAGTAGACTGGGCCCTTGTGAAGGAACTTCAGCTGTTTATTCTAAGCTGTAAGGCTTAAATGGTTTTCAAGGGTTAAGAGTTCCATTTTACAAGGCTTGCTTCAGAAGATACCACACGAAGGAAGCCATATTCGTTAGATTCAGTTAGCATATCTCCCGAGTACGGATTGAAACCAAAAATCCAGAACCCTGAGACCACCTTATAAAGCCGATACAATCCTAGGACTAACCATATAAGACCCTCCTATAAACCCAATGTGAAGCTGTTTGAAACCCCTCCACGATCCAAACTGTGATCCCCTTTCTGCACGAAGAGTTCGAGAAACCCTGAAACCCCAAACCGTGCCGTGAGGCTCATCGACTTGGGATCCAGTGTCAGGGGGTTCTCAGGGGTTTCACTCCCGTGTCTCGGGAGGGTAAAGCCTCCCGTGCACGGGGACGGAGGGGGCTCGGCTCTGCCTTACACAACTCAGCCCGGTACCTCACCATCACGTGTTTTTTGTTGGGTCTGGGGCCCCGTGTCGGAGTCCAGGGCCCGGAACTTCTCAAGGAGATGTTGCGCTGTTACACTTCGAGCGACCTCATAGGTGCGAGGATGTGGGTCAACCCGACACCATTCCATTTCAGTTGTGGCCTGCAGTGAGACGTGGTGGTTTTATCTTGAACCGCGAAACGATCTTGCGGGGGGTTGTGGGGGCGAGCCCTAGACCCTAACGGAGAATAGTTGGGCGGGCCACAGGCTGCCGCAAGCGCCCGATGACTGGGCGAAAAGGCGCACCCACCACGCGCACATTGGCTACGCACCATAAACGCTACACCCTGAACCCTAAACTGTGGACCGACCCGAAACTCAAGGCATAGGCCGCCCAACTTCCGTGGGTGGGCAGGCCCCAGACCTGGCTCTGCCCTCTGGCAGAAGGAAGAAAGCATGTTTTGGCAGGAGTTTAGGCTTCAACCCGAAAAGGAACAGGTTTGGGTGGCTTGGCCGTCTTATGCGGTATGGGGTGGAAAAGCTTTCTATAGTAGGCAGCTTAGTAGGCAGCTTTTTCGCAGCTCATCGCCATAGTCCGATGCACTCGACAAAGCCTGTTCGCATCTTTTCGCAAGATATTGTCGCTGACATGCTATTCGACGGCAAACCCTATGCCCTAAACCCTAAACCCTAAACCCCAAGCCCGAAGTCCCACCTGAATGCGAGTTTAGGCGGGCACGGAGAGATCGTCTGGGAGGCAGGGTTCAGGAAGCGGGCTTAGGGTTTGTGCAGGGTTTCGGGCATTCTTGAGGGTTTAAATATTGTCGAAGGGATTCTTGCATGTCTACGGTTTCGGGCATCGGTGGAGGGTTTGGGGGCATTGCTTGGGGTGTGGGGTTCAAAGCGCCTGTGATTTTATGACCTACGGTTCTCATCCTTAGTATCCTTGACACTAGCCCCTGCAGCAGCCCTCTCATGGCGAAGAAAACCGTTTAGCCCAAACCCCAGGCCCCGAACCCGGACCTCAAACAGGAACCCGCCCCCTACCCCGCAACACCCGAGACAAGAGAATGGCGAGTTCTGTCAGGCTGCTTGGCGAAGAGGCAGAAACTTGCGCGGGCCCTCGTGTCGCTTTGAGTTGGAGAGCAACACCTGAATCGTAAGCTTTATTTAAGCCATGAAAGCTTTGGGTTTAGGGTTCAGGGTCAGCCATAAAAAAGCAATCCTATACCCTCATGAAAGTCTTTCGGGATGTGCGACGTTCAGTCTCAACCTAACCAGGCCTGTAGGCCCCCCCCCAATAAGGCCCTTACGTTGTGAAGCCCCTGCACAGCCCGCACGCACTCAGCCCGAGACCCCTGAACCCTAATCCCTAAACACGAGAACCTCAAACCTCCCAAGCCCGAATCCGGCAGCTCTGATCCCTCAAGAGTCCTTTGCCGCAATCTCCAAGCCGTAACCCAGAAGCCCGGGTTGCGGGTCTTGGGGTTTAGGATTCAGCCTTCTCTCTCTCTCTCTCCCCCTGGAGCCGATGCTGCGAGCTGGGAAAAGTCTCCTACGAAGCCTTGCCCGAAGCTTTCTAAAAGCCTTAAAGGCCACCCCTCGCTTAGACCCCAGTCGTAGGCTTTGGAACCCAAAGCCGCGGTTGTCTGAAGACCCCAAGACTAGACTCTAGACCACAGCCTCAAAGCATAGACCCACAGCCCCCTACTTCAACAGCCGGGACACTGAACCTTAAACTTCTCCGGCAACTTCAAGCACACATGCTTCCTCATGGTGTTAGCAGCTTTTTCTGAATTCAGCATTAAGAAGCCCTGTAGAACACTTACCCCCCCAGAGCCTTCAACCCTACAGCCAGCAATCCTGAACCGAAAACGGAGCCCTGATGACACCGCATAGAACTACACACAAAAATGCTCAACCAATGCCCCTCAACTCGCCAAGCCCTGAGCCATAAACCCCAAAACCTTGACCCTAAACCTTAACACCTAAAGCCTAAAAGCCAAGGTCCCTCTGGCAGCTTCCCGCACAAGTGCCGCTGCTGGCTTCTCGGCGCACCCGGCGCGAGCTGCGAGGATCGGCACGGGGGTATTGCCACTGTTATCGGCATTGTTATAATATGATATATATATATATACATATACATATGAATATATACTGTTGCTGTTCTTTCTGCAAGCGTTTGCAATATTAATGGTATTGATCGCATGTTTGCGATTGCCCATCAGTATTGCTAGTCTTCAGCTTGTTTGTATATTATATGTGCTGCTTCCGTTCTCCCTACTGTTGCCTGTGGTAGTTATGCCACAACAACACTGCTCAGTAGAATATTCTGTTTTTGCGAGTGTTCTTGCCATCACTAAAGATGGTTGCGATTGCTTTTGTCATTGTAACGAGTGTGCTACATATTTTTGGCTCCTTTATACATCCCCCGGAGCTGTAAACTTAGCAACCCCAGACCTGAAAGCTCCAAGTCCTAAGTCTCAGCCACAAGCCCAAACACCCACGAAGCCTAAACCCTGCAACCAGGAAGCACACCCTAAGCACATCCCCAAAAGAGCTAGGTTTAAGTAATAACAGATAAGGATGAAGAGTGAACGGGGCACTGAATGAACGCAAGCTTTTATTAGATTAAATCAGAGTCTCTTTGGGCTGGTGTTCTATTTTGTGATGAACTTAATGGGAAAAAGCGTGCACTTGTCGTTTACTTTTTTCAATGGAAGTCAACACAATAAAACACAGGGAACGGGCGGAAAGGGTCACAGATGTACTTATGAAATTTAGGTCATACAGGAGCTTCCAGGTATTTCTCAATAAAATTAGGTGTCTTCCAGGGCGACCAGCTTCCGTCTTCTCATGGTCCTCCCGAGGCTGTCAACTTCTCAGAGACAGCTTCTGTTGGGGCTCGCCGACTCCGGTCTTGACAGGTGATGCATGAGTGAAGTCGCAATCTCACCGCGCTTGAGGCCGCTCAAGAGTCTACAACTTCCGTAACCCAGGCCCTCAGCCTGCGGTTGTCATGGAGCAGACAGTACCGGTACCGGCGATCTGCATGTCATTGACCGATAGTCACAACCGAGCCTTTGGCATGGAGGCCGGCAGGACTCGTTTCAGCATATTCGGGCGCGGCCATGTGCGAAACATTGGTTTTTGTGATGAAGCTATGGCAGCAAGTGCAATCGGACTTTTACTTCATGTTGTACTGTATTGTGCCAGGTATGTTATGTACTGGTCCGTATCCGTGTCCACCTAAATACAGGCTCCGATCTGTCGCCCAGGAAGTAGGTCAGCGGAGAGGGTTGTTGTTCTGCTTTACAACATTTAGTTTTTTGAACACATGGCCAAGTACATGTGTTAAAAAGTTGTTGTTCAAGCTCACCATTTAAAAACAACTTTTGAACTAGGTGTTATGTAAACACGGCATTTAAGCAGTGGGTTTTGCGTTTTGGGACCACCATTTAAGCGCACTTACAGCTTTTAGGCTTGCTTTTGTAGGCATGTTTTGCAGTTACAGAGAGGTTTTCAAACATTTAAGCTTAAAACCCCCACCCAGCCCTGGAGGCCTGCGCCTGTCGGTGGAATGCGGTGCAGTTCGGAGCTGACAAAGCTGACCGTTGCACGAGGCACGGTCCGGCCGTATACTACCATGCACATCCGGATCTTGACTCGCGTGGACAGGACAAAATATCAGTCCAAGCCGCCCTTTAAGCCGGGCCGCGAGCACATTTTGGACATGGACCCTGAAATGGGGTGCGACATTTTCCTTCAAGCCGCCAACAAAGTGTCCAATGCCGCAGACCATCAAGACGCACCTCTGTTCTTGGCTACAGCATCTTCCGATGTCAAAAGTGCTTATGTTCGGCAGTCCAAGGTCAAGAACAGAGAGTTGTCGACATTAACGGTTGAAGGCGAGGTGCTTCATATCTTGAAGCACGCGTTGCTGGCGGGGGGATGCCGCACAGATGTTGGCAGGCTTGCCCCGCGGAAGATGTCCCTTCGTGAGATGGCCTATTTGAGACGCCCGCTATCGGGAAGGTCTAAATATGCGGACCGCCGCGATGACCCCCAAGTGATTCTCTTGCGAATAGCCGTTGCAGACAAACAGAGACAACCTTGTGTGGCATGACGGGATTCAGATTGGCAACTTGGTTTGGGAGATCAGAGGTCAAGGAGAAAACGGTGGCTCAGAAAACGTGATCTTGATCAATAGCTACACAAACTCGCAGAAAGGTGGGCTTTGGACCAATCTAGCGGTGGCTGCCATTGGCCTTGTTACTTGGGGTACACCAGACGTGCAGCCAACAAAGATCCATGAATATTGGGAGTGGTGGTAGCGAACCCACCTCGAATTCTGGATGCCGCATACGGTTCCGCACTAGAAGAGGACGATGGTGATTGCCAGACCTGGGTGCGGGATGTTGCAGACTTCCTGTATGTGGACACGGAAAAATTGCCACTTCGCTGCGGGCATCTGCTCTGGAGAGCACGAGACAGCCGTTTGCAACGAATTCCGGTGAACACCATCGCAAAGCATGAGGGCACCAACTGGAATGTCAGGGTTATCTTTCATGACTTTTGTCGTCTTGATTTCGGCAAAGCAGAGTGGGTGCAAGAGGACCACTACATCAGTCTTCGAGACTTGCCAGGGCAAGCATTTCAAGAAGCGAACACTCATCATGGTGGCTACAGCAGTTGGTGCTTTCGAGGCCAACACATTCGGAGTGGCATGACCGTGTGAGACCATGGTGAGCCGTGCATTTTGTCGTCGCTCTAGATCTGTGGGACGGCACATGCTGTTTGTTGTAACTACTACGACGTTTGTATAGGGAATGATGATGACGATGATGATGCTAATGATGATGATAATGTTGAGGATGAATTGATGATTAGCGTTGTGCTCCGTACAGCGTCGCAACATGGTCCATCTTTTGTGGGGTGCTCCTTCCTGACTTGGCGAGCGACATTTGCAAGCCAAAAATGTGAAACCCTAGAGTTTCGAGTCCAGAGCTGGCTTAGGTGGTTATGACCGAAACCCTAAACCTGAGGCCGCTAAACCCATACCCTCAACTGTAGGATTTAGGTATTAGCTCCGTTTAGGGCGCTGGTTCGTGTTATGACGTGCTTCTCAACGGGAATACCCTTCCTCGCATGGAGATCCCATCGAAAAGGGAGCCATTTTCAGGGCTATCAATGTTGTGGAGACAGGTATCTTGAACAACCACCAGGCAAAGTACCATGTACTTACTCAGCTCTCCGATACAAAACCCCGACCCTCCAAAATGCCTTCATTAAGGAGTCGTCCTGCAACTACAGCAGCGATGCGCAATGAGGGATCGTTAAGCCTTAAAAGTTAAGTGACAGGGGTACTGGAGTCTCGGGGAAGCCGAGCAACGAAGAGCTTACCAATGCCTCCGAATTTCACCGCAGGAAGCTTGCCGTGCCTCTCTGCCACGCTTTTGGGGTTTGGGGTCGAAACGCCGCAGCCCAGTGCTGAGTACTAAAACCTGGTGTTCCGCATTGGAGTTAAGGGCCAGCTTGTGAGAGTTTCGGGTCGGGGGGCTTGGGATTCGGACTTAGGGATTCAACCTCTCTCTCTCTCTCTTTTTCAAATCCAAACTGCAACGAGCCAAGGGTCCCCTGAGCTGCCACAGAAAGCGTCTAGAAGTAGATCAACCTTAGGCCCTCCCGAAGCCAGAAAAAACCCAAAAAAAAGGGGTCCTCGAATTTCCGAAGCCGTTGAACAACTAAGGCTTAAGAAAAGTTTGCGTACTTGAGGTTGGTATCCCGTTAGCCGAAAAGTCTGCACGGTAAGTTACTCCCGACGCCCTCTTCAAATTTTTGCGGCCCAAATATTAGACGTTTGGGGCGTAAAATTTGGGGTATAAGGCTCAGGAGACTATGTTCCTGAAGCTCTATCTGATTTAACCTAAACCCTCAACCTTGAAGCCCAAATCCCTACAACCCAGCAGCCCTCATCTCCTACCAGCCTTAGATCTTTACCAAAGGCCGGTAGGCTTGCCCGAACTCCATGGAAACCCCTTGAGAGACCTTGAGCTCATTGGGGCCTTGAAACTCCTAAAGCCCCTCAGGGTTTTATGGGTTTTAAGGTTCACGGTTTAGGGTTAACCCCTATACTATAAAGCAGATAAAACACCCTTGGAGCCTTGCGTCTTAAACTCCACCAACAGCCCCTCACCTTGAGGCATTTTTGGTGGCTGCTGGTTCCGATAACTTAAGCTTCAGTGAGCCCTTACGGCGAGTAATACAGTCCTTTACACAACGCTTACAAAATCCTTACAAAGTCTTGATAAACCAAACCTGCTAGTATGTCTAAACCGCAAAGGTAAATCACAAATCCTAGACCCCAAGCCCGAATCCGGGATCCCAAACCTTGCACCCTGGTCCTTATAAGGCCCTATACGACAGGAAGTCGAGTTGGATTTCCGACCCTTCCCGCCCAGTCCGCCACCCATGCCCTTGGCCTCAGCGTTTCACAGGGCACCAGGGTTAAGGGTTTTCAGGGTTTCGGAGTTTAGGGGTTCCAGGGTTTAGGAGTTTAGTGTTTAAGGGTTTGGGGTTGATGGGCTTGGGGAACCCGACTCACGGTTGAACAATCCGACACGTTGGGACTTCTGCATACATCGAAGAATCAAAAACCATCGTCGCTGTGAGCGTTTCGTTGCCGCAATTCAAGCTAGCAGCTAGTTGTCCTTGGTGTAACTTTCCTGACGGCTCCAGCTGAGCATTTTCAGATTGTATAGTTTCCCAGATCGGCTGCATTCGGCCATTCTTCATTGGCTTCCACTGTTTGCCGAAGTTCGTTTAGTGCTCGGGCATTCAGTGATGGGTGGGAGCGGCCTTTGGAGGCCCGATAGGTATTTAGGGACTCGGGTCGTTGCAGTTGAGGGCTTTATATAAGGTTTTCAGTTTCAAAGAGGATTTAGCGGTTTAGGGTGGTTCCCAGAATGACCCATCCATGAGGTGCTCCTGTACGTTTCCGCCTTTTCTAGATTGTCTTGTCCTCTCGCTTCGTGGCTGTTGGGCTCCATGTGCTTACGAGATGTCTCGGGCTCGTTTCGTTTTGGGGGCATCATGCTGGGATTTATGGGAGGTCTGTACAGGGAGTCAGCTTTGCAGAATTGACCCTCGAAATCAAAGACTAAGCCCGAAAGATTCCAACCCAACCCCCCGTGCCAAACGGAACAGGATTAGGATTGTTGAGGGCGCCTCCACCTCAAACACAAATCCGCCAAGAAATCTTGTCAAAGCCCCAGCCCGCCCCCGATCATCAGGACCTAAGTGCAAGTACAGTGCAAGTACAGCACAACCTCCTTACACCGAGAGGTATATCAAAACAGAGTGATGCAATCGAGATGATGATTGTCACGGCGACGATGATGATGACGACGATGATGATGTGACGAATGGGGTGGTCAGGCTGTCTATCTATACTGGGACCTGGTCAATACCCTCATACTTTCATGACTTGACATTGTGTGAACTTGCTTGTATCTTGAATTCTCGATGTTGCCCGGTATTTCTGTTATGTTGTGATCATGGCCGCTGCGGCTGCTGCTCTGATGTCCGTCTTTGACTTCTTCCTCCTCTTCCTCCTCTCCGTTTTCCTATCTCATATTCAATACCGTCACGACTATGCTCGTTTTTATTGGTGCTTGGCACAATTCCTGTTATCGTTCGCACCCTCAGCACGCCCTAACCCCAAGCCGCCTACGCTTAAACCCCACGCCCTGACTCCTTAAGCAGTGTAGGCTCCAATAAAAAAAGTTGAAACCTTTGAAATCCGAAGTTCTCCGAGGGGAGGCGAGTTTCCAGAGCCTGGGCCCCGGGGAGCTGAAGGTTTCAACCAGTTGTCTTGAGGTTTTGAGGTTTTAGGCTGTGCGGCTTCAGGAGTTTGGGTGATCTACACGGGGCTTTCCATGCAATTGTTTTTTTGGAGGGGGGTTTGGGTGGCTGTGGCGGCTTTCAGGTATGGGTTTGAGGCTTGTGCTTTTCAGGATTTCGGGCCCGGACACCCGGTACCTGTCAAACCCCAAATCTGCAAACCCGAAGTCCCAAACCATAAAGCTCTTATCGAGAAGTGTTCCAAACATTCCCTAAAGCTCTGTGGCAGCCCTTCTACAAACCCCAAACGAAAATAGACAAAGCCACATACCACTCCATAAATGAATCCCTGTGCAACCCCAGAGCACCCTCTAAACCCCCTGCCCTTAAAAACATTTGTAAAATCCCATATCATCTCTTCTCTGTTCCGAAGTTTGGGTTGTGGGATTAGGTCTCGAGGGCCTTTGAGCAACCCTGAAATCCTGAAGTAAGGGGTATGGAAGCTTTAAGGAAGGCCCAAGAGTTCCCCCGTTTTTGCCCCTAGTAGCAAGGTCTATGCACCCCGGTATTTGCCTTTGAGCCACGCCATGAAGCCCACAGCACCCTTTGGCTTCCCCCAAGAATCCTGGATGAGCTCAGAGTGCAGGCCCTTGGTGCCCCACATCCTCGGGGCCTTGAATGGAGGCATTTGGGTTTCGGGTCGAGGCCTCCGGGGTTTGGAGTTTGGGTGGAGTCATTTCTCTGGAGCTGCTGGTGGGCTGTTTCGGGATTTTCTGTATCAGCGGTGCTAAATGTAGGCGTCCTTACTCGTCCATTGAGGTTGAGGGTTTGGGTTGGGGGTTTAAGTTTAGGGTTGAGGGTTTAGGATGATTGGGGCACGGTCTGGGCTTTACGTCCGAACCCCTAAAAGCCCGGAAAGGTGTGTCGTGCATCACTAGATGTTAGAGGGTTCTTGAAGGGTTGATACAGTTGCAGACGGGTTTGCTACACCCCAAATTTCGATCCTTCGAGCTCGGGTATCACCTTACCTTGTCTAACTCTTTGGTTGATGTTCCATGGATGGGGGCATGCAGAACAAACCCTGGCCCCTCCCCACGCGGCCCACGCGGCACGAAGCAGCAGACACACACCCGGAAACCCTGCCTCCTTCTCCGCAGACAATTTGACATAAACGGTCCTGCAAGCCCGCCTGAAAGCCTTCCCAAACTTCCTGTGAACCCTGGAGGATTTATCCGGAGTTCTGACACTCCAAGCCTGCAGAAGTCACATGCACCTCGACCCTTGTACGACCTACACTCACCTCTAAACTCAAGGTAACACGGCTACTCTCCTTGAAGCCCAATCCCTAGGTTCTAGATCCCTAGATCCATAAACCCTAGAGCAACAAAGCAACAACAGCGAAGAACAGGTCTCGACTTAACAAGGCGAAAGAAGCAAACGAAGACCAAGCCCAGCGAATCGCCAGAGCACCCAGCCTAAACCCTCAACCCTAAACCCTAAACCCTAAACCCAGCATTTGCGAGGCAAGTCGCCGACTCTGCACGTGCAGCACCCCTGGGCCCCCTTCGAATGCTACGTGACCGGGTCCAAGAGTGTTCAGTATTGCAGGGGCTTGTAGCGGCCTGAAACAGAGTTTGGGGTTTCGGGCTTATCATAGTACTTCATTTAGGCAAGTTACTAATCATTAGTAATCATGGACACACCAGGTTTTAGGGTCTCGGGTTTCGGGTTTTAGTGCAGGCCCAAAGCCCCAAGCCAATGGTGTCTTTCGGGAACACACAGCTGCTGTGAGCTTGGCACTCACAATCCCAGTCGGATGTGGCGGACAAGTTCTGCTTGGGGTCAGGGGTTTAGCCTGGACCTTGACAGATTGCCACCAACCCCTCATGAAGCCAAATAGCTATTGCTTTCGACTCTGGCATCCGCAAGCTCTATCTCAAGCCCTTGCGCGAGTTGGGGGACCGCAAATCACCCAGTGGGGTCGTCGCCCATACCTACACAGCCTAAACTGCAAATGTAGACTCCCTCCACCGATGCCTGAACCCTGGACCCAAGCTCTGTACAACAAGAGCGTTGCATCGCGCTTTGGCCATGCGGGGCCGTGATCGCCATCTAGCACGGAAGCCTGAAGAGTTATCAACTTTGCTCCACCGTGTTCCTTAGAATACAAAAATGTTCTAAAACCCTAGTCTAATCATTGATGCCTTCACCCAGGCAAGAAGAGCAGCGGTTCCACTTGAGTGCCTCGTGGCAGGAACAGGCACGCTGTTGAGGTCGTGAGTTTGGGTTTAGGGCGGAGGTTCAAAACAGAGGACTGAGTCATAGCATCCCAGCTAGTGTCCTTGTATAGCGATAACATAATAGGATACCCCAGAACCCTGTTCCCCATATAATCGTGTGCGGTGCTACATTAGGTATGAAACCAGGGCATCCAGGGCCTCCATCTAGAACCCTGCACACGCCAAGCTCTTGGGCACCCCCCCAAGCGGAGGAGCCGTATCTAAGTGCCCAAGTGCCCAAATGCGGAGCAAGTGTTTGCAATGTCCATCAACAAGCAAATCAGATTTGATATTTTTTCGACCCTCCCCCGAACATTGCCAGAGCAATCTTGAGCCCGAGCAGCACACTTGGAACTCTAGACAATCCGTAAATCCGAAATCGCTTGAAACCCTAACACAGCGACAGTTTGGTGGTTCAGGCGCTTAGGCCTCCAGGATTTTAGGGGTTCATGGTGTTGCGGCTTTAGGGGTTCAGGGTTCTGGCTGTTTTTTGGGGGTTTCACTTTTTTGGACTTAGGATCTTGGACTGTAGTGGCTGGGGTTTCAGGGGCACAGAAGTAGAACCAAGTGCTGCAAACACCGCGTAGTCATGGCATAGTCACCGTAGTCGTCCTTGTACATTAAGGCCTGTATGTGTAGATACATATACATATATATATATATACTAACATATATATATATATATATATATCTAATATAATAAAATATAATATATATATATATATACATATACATATATATATATATATATATATATAATATGTATATGTATTCACACACACACTCTTATACAAGTGTCCACGCACTTGCAATCACATATCTTCACAAGCACACGCATGCAAGCAACTAGTGTATGCGTGCATATATGAAAGTACAGTATTACATCCTGTATAACAGAAGCCGCCAAGCGCATCGAACAGAGCTCCTTCTCATGCCCATATGCACGACTCCTGTTTATGACACTCCTACAACTACATACAGCCCCCAACACCAAGCTACCCTTGTAGCAGCATGACGGGAATGGACAATACTTTACTCTATGGAAAACCATTCCGTGTGCGCCAGAATCGCGCCCACAGGCAATAGGGCTCACGTCAAACCAAATTTAGTCGGCGCTCATGGGCTCGCAAAGCAGTGGCCGGCATCTGCAGCAGTCATAAAAACCATGTATACACCCTCAAAGCCAATCAAACCCAACTCCTACCCTCAACCCTAAACCCTGAACCCTGAACCCTGAACCCGCCACAGCAACACTCCGCCATCCTGAACCCTGCAAGGATGCTTCGTGGAGGTATCCGATTTGCTCCCTGGCGCTGGGCTTAGGCACCAGTACTACTGCTACTGCTACTACCACTGCGACTGCAACTGCGGCTGTGGCTGCGACTGCGACTGCGATTCCTACTACTACTACTACTACTACTACTACTACTACTGCTACTACTGCTACTACTGCTACTACTGCTACTTCTGCTACTACTACCACTACTACTACTACTACTACTACTACTACTACTACTACTACTACTGCTACTACTATTGCCAC